GGCAGCCGGCACGGAGCGCCTGCGCGCATCCAGCCCGCCGCCAAGTGACATGCATTTTCCATTCCCTGGGCTTCATTACTTCTTGGAACGCAGACCTCACTTGCCGGGCCATGAGGGGCTTCGCTTCCCTCCGTGTTTATTTTCCCTGCCGTGTGTTCTTTTGCCAGGTGAGGAGCGCAGCCAAGCTGGTCAGGGAAAGCGGGGATGTGTGGTTGCGGTTTGGCCGGGCGGGTGGGAATCGGGCTCCCTTAAGTGCCGACACGGCGGCGTGGCCCAGCACCTGCTCACCTTCAGGCGCTGGAGCCGACCTGCTGATTTCATGAGGACGACACGTGTGCTTTACGCTGCAGCACGTGCAGAGAGGATCTGCTGGATCGTGGCCTCGCGCTGGGGCCGGACGGTGCCGGGGACAGCCAAGGTCTCCAGCTGGCGTGGGAGCCGGCTCCCGCGGGTGCCGCGTGCGTCAGCTCGCCCCGCCGTGCGTGGGAGTGGAAGGAGCCCAAGATTTCTAAAAGAAGGTGTTCAGCTTTCCCCTGAGCCAGACTCCACGTGGCTCTGCTGTCTGCTTCCTGCTCAGCCTGCTCCTCCCGCTCGCTCTTCAGCGCAGGGAACAGCGGTACCTGCACCTCCCAGCACGGGCGGACACACACGTGTGTGTTGTCTGGTCCGGATGAGATGGCACCCACGGGGTGGGTGACCTGCCCGCGGGTGGGAGCCTGTCCTGAGAGCCAGGTTGTCTCTATCCTGGCAGGGATGCGTCATGCTTGGAGCCTCGGCAGCCGCTGCTGTGTGGGTTTGGCTCTGCAGCAGGAGGCTGGGGACCTGCAGGGCTGGTCTGTGCCCCAGGGTGTGTGGGAGCCCACAGACCTCGTCCTGTGCAGAGGGCTGGGGTACCCCCACATTGCTGGGAGCCCCACGTGCCACAGGGCTGGTGGCCAGTCTCAGCCACGGAGTTTTTTGTGGTGGCAACCAGCAGAGGAGGTGCTGAGGGGGAGAAGGAGAGAACATCTCACCTTCACTGGCCTCCAGTGAGAGGCCAATAATCTTTGAGGGAGATAAAACCTCTCCTGGCCTGAACGTGGCTGTGGGGAGCTGCAGGCAGGGTAACCTGGTGGGACAAAAGAGAAGGGAGAAGGACCAGCTCACGCGATGTCGTGGCCCATCTTCACACGGAGAGCCCCGGCTCCACCAGCAGATGCACCCCAGCCTGTGTGCTCGAGCCCTCTCCGGGCTCACACGCTTGCTGGGATTACACGGGGATTAGCAGAGAGCGATCTACCCAAAATCGAGAGGGAATAAAACCAGCCAGAAGCACAGGTACCGAAAAAGCCCACAGCACCCTCCAGACACGCATGGCAAGCGGGAGATGGAGCAGCGCTCGTCACCGTGGCACGGGAGCCAGAGGGAGGTCACTCGCAGACTCCTCCACAACAATAGCAAATAAAGGAACGGGGAGGCTTTGTTGTGCTGGGGAAAATCTCGCAAGAATTAGGGGAAGAAAACCCCACCACCTCGTTGTGGCCAGCTGTCCGCCTCCTCCACCCAATGCAAACTGCGTGGACCTATAGCGCTGCGAGCTGTGAGGAATTCCTGTTTCTGAGCACTTGCAGGATGAAATGAAAAGGTCGGAGGAAAAGGCAGCGCTGCCAGCTCATGATTTTGTCATTAGTCTCACAGTGTTGGACTCAGATTTTAAAGCCCCAGCTGTGGGAGTCGTGGGATCTGTGAGAGCTTGGCTTGCAGTAAAAGGTACATTGCTAGACCTCATGTTTTGTAGGGGGGGGGGGGAAAAAACCGTGAAAATATGACTCAAATACATCCTGATGGCTTAAAATGAAGATCAGAAAGAAGAATGTAAATAGTTTGGAGTTTATTCTTTTTTCTTTTATCCCAGTTAAGTTAGACTTGTGATTTTACAGGCAGACCACCGCTCTCCACAGTAGGAATACCAGGACTGCCTTGATATACTGCGTGTGCAGAATAAATATATTAAAGTTGTGCAAGTTGCTCAGATGCTGTGCTAACACTGGTTGTAAAAATCACCTTAGATATAAGGCAGGCTCCTTGGGGAAGGGGCTAAGTGCACTCAACAAATAATGAATAGAAATAAAAATAAATATCAAATGGCCCATAAAATCAAACAATAATGGTAACTAAAAAGTTCCTGGATTTGCTGTGAGAGATAAAATCCCATCAGCGGTATGAAATAACAAGAAATAACCCCTTTTGGTTCCTTCTCCACATGACACAAGTCAGCACGCCTGGTCACCAGAGTAGTTATGGAATACATCTTCCTTCCAGCATCGTATAAATGCATTTTTCATGCTTTGAGAGACCTTCTGGGGTTCGATTTAACTGGGATCTGGGGAACATGTGAAAGGCATTTCCAGCATGCGGCACAGCCTGGTTTTTCCTGCAGGGGAAGCAGAGGTGTAACGTTCACAGCTCCCATCCACCGACCCACCTGGGACGGAGAGGTCTGCAGCGAGCCGGCAGGCCGGCGGGGCCAGCCCTCAGCAGGGCTGCTTTATTGCTGTGAACCGAAATAGATGCACTTAAAATATCTACACGGACCTAAAAATAATAAAGAGAAAGCATTTATTTTAAACCTTTTAAAAGATCGAGAGGTGTGCTGCAAATGTAAAGCTACAGAAAGCGGCCACAGCAGAGAGTGGAAGGTATCGGATGAAGCAGAGGTGGTGGCTGAGGAAGCGGGATGAGCGCGGGGGGCTGGTAAGGAGGGGCAGGAGCCCCCAAACACCAGCAAAATTCAAAACGGAGAGGTGTGGGGAGAGCTCAGGTGGGAGCCACACTTGCTCCCGCAGCTCTGCCTGGAAAGGGCACCGTGGCGAAGCGCCGGGGACGGAGAGCTGCGGGCTCTGCCGATGACTTACAGCATTAACATCCATCCACTGCCTCCTCCCGCTCTCCCCGCGCCTCGGCGCGCTGACATCTCCTCTTCTGTGGAGGTCGGGTCTAAAATAACAGGACCCTGAGGTCCTGGCTGGGGTCTCGGTGCGCTGCAGCAATACAAATAGCAAATTAATAAGTACTGCTTCCCTTTCTCCCAAAGGTTTTACGAGGCTTAATTAATGAATGTCTGTAAAACGCATTTGGAGCTGGGAATGAAATGTGCTGTGGAAATGCCAAATATTTTTAATGCTCCAGCAGATTTAGAAGGTTTAAATAAGAAAAATACACAGCTTCGCCTCTGAAACAGATTGCTCTCCTTGAAGCGGGAGGGCTCCAGAACATGAAGTTTTCATCAGGCTAACTTGAAAGAGTATTTTCACGGCTTTCCAACTCCGTTTATTCTCATGTACGAATTCCCCCTTTCCCTTATACAGATGTGGAGGCCGAGGCATGGGAAATCAAAGAAATTTACCCCCAGTCGTTGGCAGAGCCACCGCTATGAATAATTGCCTGATTTCCACTGATGACTGGAATGCCCTCTAGACCGTCCGCTCTCTCCAGATGCGCCCCGGGTTTAAAAATTACACGGATCCCGCGACGTTTGGCCTCGTCTCCACCGGTCGCTTTGGGGAGAGCTGGGAGGGACTCTGACACCGACCATGTGTGGGGACGCGGGGTGGCGAAGGCATCCCTGGCACGGAGACGACGCAGCCGGAGCGCTGCGATCTCCGGCGACAAGACTGCACCCTCTGGAGGGTACTGTTGCTCTTGCACAAAGCGCTTATGGCAATAAAACCCGGTCCATAATCGTCCGGATGGCGTGGCGGGAGGCTTCGTCCCCGGGGTGACGGGCAGCGGCGTTGTCCCCGCAGTCCCGGGGTGGTTGCACACTCGATGGTCCCTGTGGGAGACGTTTACCGAGGGGCAGCGTTCAGCGTTTGGGTGTGAGGCTGCGGGTGTTGGCGGCTGTTGGATGATGCTCGGCTGGGGGGTGATGGAACGAGGATGCCCGTGGTGGCCTGTGCGGTGGTGTCAGACCCCCACGGGTCCCCTCAGCTGTGGGGAGGTGACAGCCCCCGGGACCCCTCAGCCAAGGGACAGGGACAGACCCCTCCTAGTCCTCTCAGCCATGGGGCAGTGACAACCCTCGGGACCCTGTGGCCATGGGGAGGTGACAGACCCCCGGGGTCCATGACATCGGATGGTGACAGCCCCCTGGGCCCCCTTAGCCATGGGGCTGTGACGGACCTCCCCAGGGCCCCTCGGATGTGAGGGGGGTGACACCCTGGGACCCCTCGGCTGTGGGGCTGTCACAGCCCCGGGGCCTCCTCAGCTGTGGGGAGGTGACAGCCCCCCATGTCCCCTCAGCTGTGGGGAGGTGACAATCCCCCAGGTCCCCCCAACCGTGGGGAGGTGAGAACCCCCCATGTCCCTTCAGTCATGGGGAGGTGACAGCCCCCAGGTCCCCCCAGCTGTGGGGAGGTGACAGCCCCCCATGTCCCTTCTGCCATGGGGCAGTAACAGCCCCCCATGTCCCCTCAGCCGTGGGGAGGTGACAATCCCCCGGGTCCCCCCAGCCGTGGGGAGGTGACAATCCCCCGGGTACCCCAGCCGTGGGGAGGTGACTGTCCCCGGTCCCCCCCCTCGGGGCGGCGCC